ATGGGCCCAAATCTAACGGGATCACCCAAAAGAGAACGGCAAAACAATTTACCGTAGCTGTAAAAACACTTTATTGACAGCATAAAATGTGAATGTTTTTAGTTTTTTAATTTTATAAAATGTTTGGGTAATGTTATTTAACAATTCTTTTTGCCATTAAGTTCTAGGAGAAATATAGAATCGAAATAAATTATAATTGAAAAAAAATTCTCACTTTTAGGTACATTTATTTTCAACTAAACCCAAAAAATTAGTTTTTTTTTGTTAGTAAAAACACTTTATTGACATACTGTATGCTTTAAGCAAACAAAGACAACACTTGACGAATGAAGGTTATAAAAAATTATCACACCCAACTAACAAAAATGTCCAAAGCATAATGAAGTGTACTAGCCCCATACAGACATACATACATACATACATACACAAATAATCAGAGTTTCTTTGCTGTGGCAGCGTCAGTGTCGTAAAAGCACAGTAATATCGTAACGGTCGACCGGCCGGCTGGGCAGCCGCCATTCATTAAGTACAGATAATTAATTAAGTCGTGATAAGCAACTATTTTGATAGTAGACAACACCATTCGTCTTAGTTAGCTAGTCGTTAGAGTTAAAAATTTTAAAATCAAAGTGTGTGTACACACTTAGTTATGTACATTGATACATACATACGTATGTGTGTACATATATGTATGTAAGTATGTGTGTTCATGGCTTAAGCTGCAGTACAAATTTAGATAAGCGTTGCCTGACTTATTTTATTTTCAATTTTGTTGTTGTTTATCTTTAAAACATTCCAGTGGTGCAGGCAAATGGCAAAACAACAAACGTTTTTATTATTGCTCTGTGTGCTCGCTATGGTTGTTTTTGTTGTTGTTGTTGTTTATTGTTGTTGTGCCCCTGTGAAAAACCAGCTTGTGAACAAGTGAGACTCGCGGCTCAGTTACAAATGGGGAGACATCGACACCGACACCCCAAGCAAGCACACTATGGCCATCCCGTTCGCACACATGCGCATGCGTGACTGCGGGCTGCCAGGTGCCCCGAGAGTGAGACTCTGCTCTCCTACTTGGAGTCTGTCTGTATGTGTGTGTCTGTTTTTGTTTGTGCATATGTGTGCGCTTTAAAAAGGTAACTCGGATTTGTCCCCGCTGCGTCTGCTGCAACTTTACTTTTTGACGACCGCATTTTTTAGCTTTCTTTTCCACCTGTTTTTCTCTTGCTCTGTTGATATTTTTATGATTTTTTTTTCCACAGGCACACTCACACAGGCGGCTGCTTACTGTTAGCTACACATACGAATACCCTTGTGTGCGTGTGTAGGTATTGTACATCGAGCATGGGCAATAATACCAAAGGTATGCACACAAACTGGGAGCGGCGGCAGGTTTCTCATATTGATTTTCAATGCTTTTGTTCAATTCATTCACTAATTCAACGAGACCTGCGCTATCTATTGTGTCGCTGTGTGCGTGTGTTCTAATTGACCGCATTTAATTTTTGTTTTTCTCTTTTTCGCTGCGATCTCTGATATGCAGATACATATTTATTATACATTCAGATTTGTTATTATTTAGACAGAAATGTATTTTTTTGCAAGAAAAAAGTATATTTTTAACATTTTGTTTTTGATTTATGTTAAAAGTAAGCTAACGAGATCCATTGATTTAAGCCATAATTCAAATATTGATTGATAATTAAACTAATTGACAGCCTTTTTTGATATCTGATATGTAAATTTGTTAATAGTTATTTAATAGGAATGTCTCATGCAAATCGCAGCTGTGCATACACACACACATGCCTCGGCTCGTTAACATTTATCAATAGCTCACAAATGTACATACATACATACATACATACATGCATATGTATTAACATCTTCCTTCTCTCACTCACGCATTGCACATTCTTTGCTAATTAGCACGAATTTAAATTTTTGTTGACACGTTCGTTATGCATTTTTTTTCAATTGGTTTTTTTCAAATGTTCGATTGTGTTAGGCACAGGCAGGGGCAGGGGCGGGCGGCAGGTTAGGTTTGGCACATTTGCTACATAAACACTTCGCAGACATTAATGCTGCGTTATTATTTTCATTAAAAAAAAAACATAAAAGCTAACTGTAATTGGGCTTGCGCTTTTGTCTAATTTCTTTCTTTCACACTTGACATCTATCTCCACACTCCCAATCTCAGCTTGAGAGAGCTCGTCACTTTTTTGTTGTTTTCCTTTTTTTTTTTTTACCTGCCGTTTACTTGTTGTGCTTTTGTATTCTCGTCCGCCTTCCTTCTATTTTGGCTTTCCACTTTCGTTCGTTCTTCTCAATTTTTACAACACTTTTTATAAATCAAGTCTCGCTTTGGGCTTATACATATGATTGTGTGTGTGTTATTTGAACACTTATTTAATTATTTCCACACACGTTAGTTTGCAAATTATATGGAAAATATAAATGAAATAAAATAGCCGTAATGTCGCCGTAATTGTAATTATTTGTAAAGCACACGCGTTGTCCGCTGTGGCCGCGTTTAGTACGTCTGGCCAGACCAAAATCAAGGTACTAACTTGGCTAACTCAACACGGCTAGCTCTAGCTCCGTTAGCCAGAGCCACATGAGCTAAGCCTCAAAGTGTCTGTTTCCATGCGAGAGCGCGCCAGCGAGCGGTGAGAGAGCGGAGAGCAAGCGCAAGCGTTGCCACCTAGCGAAACAAATTTGTAATCAATATAAATACGTTTGCATTTTCTACACTAGCCTACAAAATGTATTTAGAATTCAAGATTTTTGCCAGTATTAATTCGCATTGCCATAAAAGCAGTTTTTTTTCTTTATTAATTATAATTTTATTGTACGCAAAGAATTGATTCAACTTATAAACTAAGTTAAGGCGCCTATAACAGATCAGCTTCTGTTCTTTTTATTTGCTTTCATTAGCTTTGCTTTCAACGCGTCGACATCGACTTTGCTGGTTTCGGCCGGACGCTTGCGGCTCTGGCTTGGCGCATCTTCCGTTGGCGGCACAAAGTCCTTGTTGCGGCGCTCGTCCTGCTTCTTAGCTGCCTCCGCCTGTTTGACACTGCGCTCCTGCTGCTTCTTGGCCTGCTTCTGCTCCTTGTTGAGGAAGTATTCACCTGTGGCCAGCTGCTTGTCAATCTTGCTCTCCGGCTGTGCCGGCGGGAAGGGTGTGTACTCCTTTTTGGGTTTCTTATTCTTGGGCTGCTTGCGTTTGCTTATGTTCTTGTTCTTAAACTTGGGCAGAAACCGTGACCAATCCTCGTTGGCCAACTTGGGATCTTTCATCAGTTCGCGTTTGATCATCAGAGCTTTTATATTGTAAATGGGATGCACATTGTTCATGGTCTCCAGCACAATGTCGCGCACCTGCTGCAGCCCCTTGTACGGGCCCAGCGCCGAGACCGTATTACCCTGCACGAGGACATAGCAATCGGTAAGCAGCTCGATGGACTTCAGCGTGGCGCCGTTGGGGCCAATCAGGCGCTGTCGGCGCTTCACAAATTTTTCCTTTTTGTGCACCAGATTGCCAATTTTAATGATGTCGCAGCCAATGTCATCTTGGAGCACACGTTTCGCCTGCTCGAAGGGCACACTGCGTGCCATCAGCTTGATCATGTCCCGGGATTTAATGATGATGTAGGGATCCCATGTTTTGCGTGTCGTCTTGACCACCATGCTGCCCTCCACCAGATCCAGTTCGGCTTTTAGATGATGCTCTGCTACGCACTGCTGCACCAGGGGCCACACTTCCTTCAAATATTTCTCACGGTATTTGGGAAAGAGCGTGGCAAAGGAGCTCTCCTCGACCAGGCCATGTGGATTGTCCTCTGCCTTGAATGTGGGTATTTTCAACGACCATGCGTTATCCACTGGCTCCGTGCTCTGCTTTGTCGGCCCGTCACTTTCATTGTCACTCATATTTGTTCAAATTTGTTAAAAACAATTTCGTTTCAACAAATTTACAAAAGTTAGCCGTGCACGTTTGTTTTGAACAGCTGTCAAGCAAGTGTGGCCGTCTAAAAAGTATCGATATCGTAACAAATTATCGATAGCATATAACGATAGTTGTAGTAACAGCAATACACACAATATATAAGGTTACACAAGTTTAACCAAAACTGTAAATAAAAAAACTTTGTAGGATTGCGTGCAAAATATAATTAATCCAAGAAAAACCAACAAGGCATTTTATTTACACGATAAACTTTCTCATTTGTATTGATACTTCATTAAATCATATATACATTTATTACAATAGTGACGTACATGCTAGAGCGAAACAGTTATCGAAATATCGTGCCAGTGTTGAAACATCGATAGGTACTCAAATAAGGTGTGTCGAATGAAATTTTCCATTCATATTTCATTCTATTGTTGCTTTTGGGTGAGTTTGGTCGATGTTATTTTCGTAGAGGCACGGACTTTCACTTTCGCATATAATTTGAGACGCAATAAATTTTTAAACTCGTCAATATTAAAAATAAATCAGTTTAGCTGGAATTGAATTCATTTTTTGGTAGGTCATATTGCTAAAATTTCATCAATAAACGTAAAACCTGAAGTGTATCCGGATAAAAGAAAAAAAGCCACCTGGGGGCGTGGATGTGTCGTGCAAAATTTGCATAAAGTTGATTTAGTTCGTTAGTTTTCATTTCAAGTGGAAAATATTGGTATTGTATCGTTAAAACATAAATTTTTTCGCATATTGCGTTTTAGTGAGAAATTTTTGTGAAAAATCAATATGGCGTCGATGACGCGTCTACGTGGCTACGGCACGGCGCTGCCAACTCCTTTAAATTAAGAATATCTCGAACAAAAATGTTTATTTGCAGCTAGCAGGCTACGTAAAACAATTCAAGCGCGCGTTCATTAAAAATGTTCTAATAAAAATTGTTTGAGAAAAATATTTAATCATATCTGCAGACGAATGGTTAATTTCTATGCAGGGTTGCATGTTCATTTGAAGAATCGATTGCGATTAGTCGATTGGTTTCATCACTGCGTAGTTGGCAAGAGCATTAGAACGCGAAACACGTTTTTTGTTGGAAGCGGACTGCTGATGAAATTGGTCAAATCGAAAAACACAAAATTAACTTGAACATAACAATTGAAGGCCATTGGTGCTCGTTTGGCAAATAAATGGACATGGATCGTACATATGCAAGAATATTTAGCATATGGTTATTATAACAATTTATTGCGTCGCTAGGTAGCGTTCTTGCAAAGTGTAGTTGAATATTATTTGTATATGTATGTGCACAAATACTAAGTGACGTTTTCTACGATTTTAGATCTGAATTGATAAAGATTGCAATTTGATGGCCTAAATTGGTGCATTACGTAATCTTCGTGGTGTTTGTATTTCTATAAGTTACGCACGCACGAATCGACGCTTGCGTTAGAAAGAGACGACAGTAGTGCATTTTCTATTTGGCGTTGCCATATAGTTTTTTAAAAAAAAAAGTCAAGTATGGTGAGTTTGTAATACTGTTTTAAACGTGTTTGATTTATTTTATTAATGACATTTTAAAATAATTGCAGCCGCGCATAGTGCCCTTACAGTTATTGAAGTGCCTGCGGGTGCTTTTAGATACCAATGGAGGTATACTAAGTGCGACAGAAGTAAAACGGATAGCTGGGTAAGTTGTCAACATGTGCAAAATACAACAAGCGCCCTCTAGCGTAAATTTTCCTTACTAATTTTTTTTATTTTGGTGAATTTTTTAATAGGTTGATGACGAAATATTCAAAAAAGCTGGTATCAAAATGCGTTTACGTGCAGATCTTAAAGTCGACCAAAACGGAACTACTGGGAGACTTTATGACGGTTGGCGGATGGGGTCTGGTCTGCACCTGGCTAAGCGATGCGATACGAACAATGAACTGGCCACTCGTACAAGAGATACTTGAATTGTTGCTACTTTCCCCTGTTGATGTAAATAGATTAAAAATAAACTCGGCGCCCATTTTGGTCAAAGGGCTGTGCAAAGATGGGGGCAATGAAGGTAAGTGTCACTTCACTAGATCTATAAACTAGATGGCTGTATAACTGACTAATCTGGTAATATGGTAAATGTCCCTCCTTTTTATTTGTTTGTTTTTTTTTTTTGTTTTGCTCATTTTAGGCGTACGGATACTGGCGAAACGGTTGGTTGAGCAGTGGTTAAAGATTGTTACGGAGAATCCCAGCGGCACAACAACTGCCACCAGTTCGCCCGCGGGTGCAGTCGAGTCACAGCAGACGACAGCGTTAGTAGCCAGGGATACATCGGGATCGGATCTGAAGGACACGAATATGGAGCACAGCTCGTCGGACAGCACGGACAGCAGCGGCGGTGGTGCGACCGTCAGGCAAAACTACACGATTACCTCCTCAGCTGAGCGCAAGCGCAATATAGTTATTACAATCAAAACTGTTGACAAATCTGCCTCTACGTTAACAACGGCAGATAGTGTATATAACGATGACGATAGTTCCTTACCAGCATCTGAGGCTGGCTCTGAGTCCAAAGGGACCGAGTCGAATGCCCATTTAGACAGTTCAGAGAAATCGAATTTAGATGATAGTAGTACAACGGCAGATTCAAAGCTTGATGACGATTCTGATAAGAAGCATAAGAGTGCGCGGGACAAGAGTAGAAGTAGATCGGAGAAAGACCGTGACAAGGATAAAAAATCGTCCAGCAGTCACAGGTCATCTTCGTCTAGCCATAAGTCCTCTTCGTCTTCTTCCAAAAGCTCCTCGAAGGGTTCGTCATCTTCGTCCCATCGCAGCTCCAGCGATAAACATCGTGACAGAGACAAGGCACGATCAAGTTCCAGTTCGAGCTCAAGCAAAGATAAGGATCGAAAGGAGGGTTCTAGCTCATCCTCGACGGCGACATCTTCATCTAACAAGCACAAATCCTCAAAATCATCGTCGTCATCGTCATCCTCCTCTTCGTCGAACTCTAGCACGTCCAAAGATCGTAATCGCGATAAGGACAAAGAGAAGTCGTCGTCTTCGACGGCCTCCAAGAAGGAGAATGAAAAAGACAACAAACTAATGCCACCGCCCGCATCTTCCGAAAAGAAAACTAAAGATGGCGATTCTGATGTACAAAAAGCCAAATCGATATCCATACCCAATAGAAAGGCTTCGATATCGATAGAAATACGCCGTGATAACGAAAAGACGGCCACAGTCAAGACGTATCAATCCAAATTTCGTTCCCATGGCCTCACCGAGGAGGCGCCACCCCCACCCTCGCGCAAAGGCCTTAAGAAGCCCACATCTTCGACGACGCCAACAATACCACCAACGATTCTGCCCTCAGCGACGGCACTGAAGCGTCCATCGCCACCGCCCCGGGATACGCCCGCTGAGAAGAAGCCCAAAATCGATATGAATCATGTGATTGGACATGTGGACCGGCCAGGATCGGTTAAGCTGATAGCGCCCAAAAAAAGTAAGCATCGTTCCAATGAGCACGTTACTAATCCTCCTGTTATCTCTTTACAGAAACTCTGTCGGTTTTTTGCTTTTGTTGTTTTGCTGCAATTTGACACGAACTTCTTGTGTGTGTATTTTTGTTGAAATCATTTTAAGGAGTTTAATTTTCGCTTGGGGTGGTTGATTAATTGATTGATTGATTGATTGGGCTGGGTCAGGGCAAACTGCAAATCTTGATTAGACAAGTTTTGGGTGCTTTTTGGTACAATCAATTATTTGGCCCGGATCGATCGATTGGTCTGGCGGGCGGGCGGTCGGTCATTCAGTTATAGAGTTGAATTTTTGATTTAGTTTGTTGAAGCCTACCTGCAAATGGAAGGACAAACCGAGGAAGTCGCTGATTGTCGGCGCAGCTCTGACCAGCGGCGGGGCACACGACGATGTGGCAGGCGGGATGGGCCCCAGCGGCAAGACACAGCCCAATTGTACGGCGCATGCGCTCCTCGGAAAGCTGACGCGGCGGCAAGTCGGCTTGGTGTTAAGTATTAAAACTCAACCTAAAAAAAAAAAACAACAGATAAAAACAAAACAAAAAACCGAACATATATCTATAAATCTATGCAATACACGTTAATGATTTAGCTTATAAGGTATGTAGATGCAGCTTACTAACCTACTACATACAAAAAAAACAAAACAGAAAAACCAAAAATAAATACGACTTTCCTCTAGAAAAATCTACTTTTTCTATTGAAATAAAATATGATATGAAAACTATGATGATGCTGATGATGATGATGATGATGATATATCTATATAAAAATCAAACTTGAGCTGGCGTTTCTTAAAGTTTGGTAGCCAAAATGACGAGCACACACACGCTACAGTTGCCGCTGGCTATGATGGCCGTAACGATATTTTGACAAGCACCACATACAGATAACTTAAAAGATATATAGTATATATTTATATGTATATATATGATGAAAGCCAAATGAAAATGGAAAACTGTGCTGTGTTGCATGTTCATGACGCTACCAAGGTCTGAGAACATGGCCGCCTTTTCACTTGTGCTGGCCTTGCAACATGTGGCATATGCCCACGCGCTGTTGATCAGTTTGTTTTTTTGTTTTTCTATTTTTTTCATTACTTTTTGTTGTTGATCAGCGATTGCGAGGGGTGTACGAAAGGTTTTTTTTTTTTTGTTAATTTTTGTTTGATTATTAAGCAAATCGGCTGGTTGTATATATTTTATGTATACTATTCGAGCAGTTTTTGGGCGTCTGTGCAGATGCTGCACGCATTTTATAAATCTATATACTTATATAGATTCAGCTATATGGTATATAGTTAAAGATTTAGTCTTGCGCCAGACACGTCGCGTTTTTTTTTTTTTTTTAATATTTTCTACAGCTTTCTACCAAATTAGCTGAGCATATAGGTATTTTGATAGTCCCCCTTATCAGTTCGTAATATAATTTCTTTTCGCAACAAAAGCAAAAACCCGAGGAGTACGTAACGAACCCTAATTGCATATTATATTTTTTTTAATTATTTCTTATTAATTAATATTTATTGCTTGCAGTTTCAACTTTGGTGGAGACAAATCTATTCTCGGATGCTTTGGCGGCTTCCATAGAGCCAAAGAAGGTTGTTAAGCGCAAGCGGCTGAATGCGGCCGCATCTCCAACGGAAAAGGATGCGCCGCTGGCGCCGCTCAAATTCTATCAGGATACACTGGACGAATCGAAGAGTGAGGACAAGTCCGATGATAGCACCAAGGAGAATGATGACAGCCGAACGGGCTCTCCGGGCAAGGACACAGATGGTGACGATGATGATATACCATTGAAGAAGGTCAAGGAGGACATTGAACAGAAGGTGCAAAAGGAGAAGTCGGCGGTGGAGAGCGCCGGCGCCGCTGGTGATGCCAGTCCGGACGATGCGGACGATACGCCCGAGGAGCCCAAAAAGCCTGGACCCGGCTGCGGTCCGAATGGACCACCCGGCGTGCTAATGCTGCACCGACGACGTGGACCCAAAAAGAAGCTCACCTGGCAGCCGGAAGAGAAACTAACGCAGATACGCTACTTTGAGGTGGACCGCTCGGAGCGTGTGAACGTGACGAAGCAGAGCTTCCTCGAAATGAAGAACATGGAGCGTTACAGTGAACGCGATGCGCTGAATATTGCGCGTCGTGGCTTCGATGATATTATGGAGCCGCAAATGGAGTGGCGTCCACTGATCGAGGTGGCCAATGTGCCTGATCATCCCAATGGCAATCTATCGAAGCAGCGTGTTGTGCAGGCGGAACGTGAGGCGACCACGTTGCGTGCGCTCTACTTCTCGCCGGACATGATACCCGACAGTGCTGCCGAGGCGGAACTGGAACCGCATTTCTCGCACGACATTCCCATTATACCCATCGATGATTTGACGGGCAATCCGGACGCGGTCAATGACTACAGCTCACTGCCCTGGCCGGAGCCGAAGGGTTACAGTGCTGCCAGCAACGAGCTGGGCTACAATGATAACAGCATGAACAATATTATTCCCGGCATGAATCCCAATCTGTTGCCGCAGAATAATCCCTTCCAGCCGTTTGGCACCAATTACATGCCCAACGCGGGTAACATGCCACCGAATCCAAATCCACAGATGCCACTGAATATGCCACAACCGGGACCGCCGCCAATTTGGCAGAATCCAATGGTGGCGGGCAGTCCAATGATGAATCCCATGAATGGACCACCGGCCGGCATGGAGATGAACAATCCGCCTGGTATGCCACCCAATTTTATGGGCAATCAGTTTGGCAGTCCAGGTGGTCCGTTTGGTGCGCCGCCCGGTTTCAATAATATGAACTTTCCGCCAATGATGATGAATGGACCCGGTCCGGGGCCGGGACCAGTGGGACCGGGACCCAACGGTCCCATGATGAACGGACCCGGACCCATGCCCAATGGCATGGGGCCCATGACAAACGGCGGCGGGCCACGAAACAACAATCGCAAGAATAACGGAGGTGGAGGTGGCGGCAACTGGCGTAGCGGTGGCAACAATTTTCAGGACAATTCCGGCGGCAATTGGCGGTCAGCGGGCTCTGGCTCCAATCGTGGCGGGGGCGGTGGCAATAACAACAACAACACAGGCATTTGCAAACAATTCATGCGCGGACACTGTCACATGGGCAAGTCGTGCAAGTACGTGCATCCGCAAAAGAAGAGAATGTAGGACTCATCCGAATCTTCCGAGGAAGATTCGAAAGTATAGATCTCACAGAGCCTCACAGCTTTGCACACAAAAACCATACCCATGTATATTCAAATCTCTGCGATATGGTTTGTGATCCCGGCAACAAAAATTAAAACGGATCACGGACCACACGCTGCCCCCCAGCCAATGAAGACTGCAGCCTGGGTCGCCACGGAGGAGCACTGCCTCGCCGGCGCCCAACATTAGTTTTATACTGTACATACACACTTATATATATAAATATATATACATATACATATATGTATACTATGTTATCTATACAATATCTATCATACATATATTTAGTGTAATGTAAAAAGTAGAAGAAACTCATTTCGAATTTCGTACATTTCAATTTTAATTTTTATTTGTAATTTGTATTCGTAAGCTAGCTTGTTAACAATAAAGACCAAGTCATATGAAATTTAATACACATTTTTAATGCCAATATTTGATGTATCAAGAATTATATATTAAGCCTTCAAAATGTTCAATCTTGGGTTTGTCTTATCATATCCGTCTATATTATTTGTTAAAATCCTATACAATATCTGATTACGTTTTTAATAGATGTATGTATATGTACATATTTAATTTAATAATTCTGTATAATGTCGGGTATTTAAAGTCTTATTTTATATATTTGATATATGTATGTATGTACATATGTACCTCTTTCGACTTGTATGGAACACGACCACCGATTGGTATTCAAAAATGACAAATCTAAAATATTTTCGAATTTGATCAAAAGCTGCGACGAGATTTTACATCGCATCCATACATATGTAAGTATGTATGCGGCAGCTTTTTATCTCGATTATTATTTCTAATTTAACGGTCGTTAAATTCCCAGTCGGCTGTGTCGCAAAATTTTAACCAAATGCAACTGAAATAACAGCCAAAAGTCGGAGACTACAATTAAAACAGATTGTATGTTTAAGTAAAATGCTCGAAGTAATAACTGTAATCATATTTTTGTTGTGGTTTCTAATCCACATTCGTCAATACGTATAAAAGAAGCATTGTCTAATAGTGATGCCAAGACACGCGACTGATGTTGCGGATTTGTCTAAATAATACAGTACCCGCCAAAACAAAGTAGTTATTTTTACGGAGGAAAAAAATTTAAATACTCAAACGAGTCCAAAAATATCATCTGCCCAAGATCAGATTCAATTTATTACACTTGCCGGAATACGTTGAAATAAATGGCTAGTTTTGGCGGATATCGCATTATTCATCCAAATCCGGCGCATCACCAGCGTGTTTACGCATCACTATATTTTGACGAATATGCATAGGAATCAAAGCAAAAGGATAGTTACAGTTACATATTTCGCGGAGCAGCCATCATGGATTTGCGCTTGACCAATGGCGCGCCGGCGCACCATCTAATTTTGTTCTGGGGTCGCGGACTTTTGGCTACCTGCTGACATTTCTGTTCGCCTGGTAATTCAGCTGAATTTGGTTGAAGTTTTGTGACACAGCCGACATGCCAAATGGAATTTGGCGACCGTTAAATTTGAATTTAATTGCTACCATGCAACCGCACTTGGGTTAGATGCGCAATCGGATTAATATTTCTTACGCTGCCCTGGATCATTCGATCTGTTAGGCACGGGACGGAGTTTGCAAACGTATTACATATATGTATATAGCTATTTTCTCAAGTTGGAGTCCAAAAATATGATCTGCCCAAGATAAGACTCAATTTACTACACTTGTCGGCATTCGTTAGATTAAACGGCTAGTTTTGGCGGATATCGCATTATTCATCCAAATCCGGCGCATCACCAGCGTGTTTACGCATCACTATATTTTGACGAATATGCATAGGAATCAAAGCAAAAGGATAGTTACAGTTACATATTTCGCGGAGCAGCCATCATGGATTTGCGCTTGACCAATGGCGCGCCGGCGCACCATCTAATTTTGTTCTGGTGTCGCGGACTTTTGGCTACCTGCTGACATTTCTGTTCGCCTGGTAATTCAGCTAAATTTGGTTGAAATTTTGTGACACAGCCGACATGCCAAATGGAATTTGGCGACCGTTAAATTTGAATTTAATTGCTACCATGCAACCGCACTTGGGTTAGATGCGCAATCGGATTAATATTTCGTACGCTGCCCTGGATTATTCGATCTGTTAGGCACGGGACGGAGTTTGCAAACGTATTACATATATGTATATAGCTATTTTCTCAAGTTGGAGTCCAAAAATATGATCTGCCCAAGATCAGACTCAATTTACTACACTTGTCGGCATTCGTTAGATTAAACGGCTAGTTTAAGCGGAAATCGCATTGTTCAGCCAAATCCGGCGCATCACCAGCGCGTTTACGCATCACTATATATATTGACGAATATGCATAGGAATCAAAGTAAAAGGATAGTTACAGTTACATATTTCGCGGAGCAGCCATCATGGATTTGCGCTTGACCAATGGCGCGCCGGCGCACCATCTAATTTTGTTCTGGTGTCGCGGACTTTTGGCTACCTGCTGACATTTCTGTTCGCCCGGTAATTCAGCTAAATTTGGTTGAAATTTTGTGACACAGCCGACATGCCAAATGGAATTTGGCGACCGTTAAATTTGAATTTAATTGCTACCATGCAACCGCACTTGGGTTAGATGCGCAATCGGATTAATATTTCGTACGCTGCCCTGGATTATTCGATCTGTTAGGCACGGGACGGAGTTTGCAAACGTATTACATATATGTATATAGCTATTTTCTCAAGTTGGAGTCCAAAAATATCATCTGCCCAAGATAAGACTCAATTTACTACACTTGTCGGCATTCGTTACAATAAACGGCTAGTTTTAGCGGAAATCGCATTGTTTAGCCAAATCCGGCGCATCACCAGCGTCTTTACGCATCACTATATTTTGACGAATATGCATAGGAATCAAAGCAAAAGGATAGTTACAGTTACATATTTCGCGGAGCAGCCATCATGGATTTGCGCTTGACCAATGGCGCGCCGGCGCACAATCTGATTTTGTTCTGGTGTCGCGGACTTTTGGCTACCTGCTGACATTTCTGTTCGCCTGGTAATTCAGCTGAATTTGGTTGAAGTTTTGTGACACAGCCGACATGCCGAATGGAATTTGGCGACCGTTAAATTTGAATTTAATTGCAATCGAGCAAGTTCATATGCATGCAAATATGGGTGAAACGTGAAATCTCCTTGATGTCTCTCGTAAACTGTTAATAGAGCATAGATACATATATGTATGGTAGCTACTTTGTTCAAAATGACATCTATAAAAACGCAAATTTAAGATCAGCTTAAATATAATGTTACTATACCGATGGCAATCGGTAGTCGGGAACCGTGCTAGTTGAAAGAGGTATATCGTTCTAAAATCGGGCCTTTTCTATCCGAGTTATGGCCATTTTTGTAAAGTTGTTAGAATATTAAAATTTGAATAATTTGTAACTTATAGTTGTTTAAAGTATTGAATAAGAATTGCGGCAATTTGGAAATTAAAAATGTAGCATTTTTTTTGCTGCAAAACATTAGTGTTATTTAGATGAAGGCGAATTAAACAAAATTAAACAAAAAATCAATGACACATATGTGTTTGTGCATGTGTGTGTGTGTATTTGGGTTTGCCTAGGTGGGGTGGTTGTCTAGTTTGTTGCACTTAACCTAAAATTTGTAGGGCTTCATTGACGCTGGCAGCTTGGATCACAGGTTTTCGAGTTCAGTTGCCGTCAGCTATTTCATCAGACGATACAAATTATTTTTGGAAACGCCATGAGGTTGTTCGGTTCGCTGGTGATTCTGCTCACTGTGGTCGCTGTGGGCAATGCGCTGAGCTTCACTGTAACTTCCAGAATTTATATGGACGTTAAGCACAAGAAGCAACCACTGGGCCGGATCACGTTCGGACTCTTTGGCCAACTGGCGCCCAAGACGGTGGCCAATTTCCGGCACATCTGCCTACGGGGCATCAACGGAAGCAGCTATGTGGGCGCCACATTTCATCGGATCGTGGACCGTTTCCTGGTGCAGGGCGGCGATATAGTCAGCGGCGATGGCACTGGCTCCATCAGTATCTACGGCGACTTCTTTGAGGACGAGGACAAAGGCCTGGGCATTGAGCACAATCGTCCCGGCTATCTGGGCATGGCGAATCGTGGCCCCAACACGAATGGCTGTCAGTTCTATGTGACAACAGTTGGCGCCAAATGGTTGGATGGCAAGCACACGGTCTTTGGCAAGGTGCTGGATGGCATGGACACTATTTATGCCATAGAAGATGTAAGTGGCGGAAAGGGATACAATTTTGACTTTTGTTTTCTTAAAGCTAAGCTATTTATGTTGCTTAAATTTAATGTTAATTTGCTTATTTTTAAATAATATCTACTTGTTATTGTTCTGTTGTTGGTTGTAGGTCAAGACCGACACTGATGACTTTCCCATCGATCCGGTGATTATAACCAACTGTGGCGAGCTGCCAACGGAACAATTTGAATTCTATCCCGATGACTTTAACATATTGGGCTGGATACGGGCGGCCGGTTTGCCGGTGACCAGCTCCTTTCTAGTTCTACTCATTTTTCACTACTTTTTTCGTCAGCTCAACATGTATTGCTGACGCCCTCTTTGGCGCTTGTTGTTTTTTTTTTATTCATGCACATAACATTTAAATACTAAACATTGTCAGATTTCAAATAAAGAATATTTCCGCTAACTTAAGCCGTGATCACGCCCCGCAGCAGAATTGGCAGCGTGGGTCCCATGTGGAGCTGGAAACATGAATGTTAAAAAAAAGAGGCAGGTATTAAAAAATATAATAAAAATAAAAAAAAAACCGCAGAAAGTAAATTCTGTTAGCCGAAGCGAAAGGCATACAAGATTATCAAGTGCCTTTATTTTTATCTGCAAGAAGTTTCACTGCAATAACTGCTCAAAGGGCTGAGTTTACATAGGCAAAGACAGACAGACAAGTTATACGATAAAAACTGACTTACATCGATATATATATAGTCCACAATGCGCTGATTGAGCTCATAGTACTTGGACTCGGGCTTAAAGTAGCCAATCAGGCGCACATCGACGCCTGAGAAATTGGATAGATTTGCCGTATGGATCTTGGCCAGCGTGAAGTGATGCTTGTGATCGGGATAAACGGAGAGATTTAAGCTATTGTAATACTCCTCGATCATGCGACGATCCTTGTCCGTAATATCGCGCTGATGCCGCACAAAGGCGTCGAAATCAAAGGAATGCGCATGCTTCAACTTGGGATTCGTATCTGCGTCCAATAAACGCTCCCACATGTTGCGATAGCCCTTGTTAAAGAACTCAGGCTCCGTACACTTCTCGGCCCAGAAGGTGAACTTCTTGTCGGGACTGTAAATGGGCAAATATTAGACCTTAGCTGCATACTATTATTTTGATTACTTACTGATTTTCCACTTTAAAGTCCACATAGAGCCCCGGAATACGTACGGCCGTACGTGCGGCTGCTATCAGTTTGCCGGGTCCAAAGAAATGCAGATGCAATTCGAAACGCCGCAGGGAGTCCCGGGTCAGCGGACCTAGATCGAGAACATAGGCCAGCTGCTCGCAGGGCAGCGGCTGGACTGTAAAATGCCGTACATTGACAGGCAGCTTATATCCCTGGGTCCGGGTCTGGTTCACATAGCTATTGTAGACCTTCTGATGTAGCGTATACAAATCGGGATTGTTCCGCAAACGATGTATGTAACGCTCCGTGACGAGCATCTGATTGAGCACCACGGCATTTGGCAGCTCCTGGTTGTTATTGACAAGCACATAGGTTTTCACCATCTTAAAGAGCTGTATGTCATGTTGGCGCTGCCTTTCGCTGGGCATATCCTCCTCGCTCTCGGACATCTCGCTAAAATCGCTGCTCAGCCGATCCTCCTGAATGCCCTCCTCCTCGCTCAGGGCCGGCGGCTCTTTGTCTTGCTCTGTGATGCTTTTGAATAACTCGTAATTGTATATCTTACGCATGAATTCGTATTCCTCCAAAATCTCTGAAATGCTCTGCTCCACCTTGGGCAGCGGCGTCGTTATATTCAAGACGGGCATGATGCCCTGGCCACGCAGCCGGAAAAAGCTGTACGCACTATTGTTGATCATCACGCTGAATATGCGCAGAAAGTTCTCATTGAAGCCCAGAATGCCGGACACTTTGACCTTGCCCGCTCCCAGGGGCTCCAAAAACAGCGCCTCCTCCTGCATGAGTTTGGCATAGCCATCGATTAGTCGCGTCTCGTTGTTAGCTGGTCCCATTAAAAGCAATTGCAGCGGATATTTGGTCACATTGGAAATGCGCACAACGGTATTAAACATCTCGTACCAGGGCTATATGCAGATGGATATAGTTTAAATAAAATCGGAAAAATAAATAAGGAAATATGCCGGAAAAGCCAACTTGGAATTGCCAAAGATAAAATACCCTTCCAGGGTATATATAGATAATTTAGAAAAAAGGGAAATAAAATAAGTGAAGCAAAAAGGGAAAATACAAAAACGAAATTCAATTTTTAACGGATCGTTACAACAGGGCTACACAATATGTATGAGTCGAGGGGTTTGATTTAGAGACAAAGGATCTAAATAGACTGAGAGTTATATAGTTATACAATATTTACCCTGATATTCAGATAGATATTGTCCTTGTGGTATTTGATTTTCTGTACCAAATTGACAAGGGTCACCGACAAATATTCGCTCCGCCCGCCAATGACATCCAGCTGGAAAACGGACTTAACCTCATGGGAGCGACGCACATGCGGTAGATGTAGAAGGCACTCCTGATTATCCATTTTCTGGACTTGGCCCACCTTCTCGTAGAAGTAAATAAAACGATCAGAGAAACAGTATTCGGAGGAGGGCTCCGACAGGTGCTGGCTGGATTCAATGTTCAGCCTATCCAAAATGTGATCGATTGTGTGCTGAACAAAGCTGGTGGAGCTGTGCCGATCGCTGTTGTCGAGCGACTCGGGCAACATATCGTTCATGGGTATATGGAAGCGTCGACGGCCGAGATCGAGCTCATTGATGATCTCATCGATGATCTCCAATATGAGGCTGCCATATTGTTGCTCGCTTCGGAACTGACAGCGACATTGCTGATAGCGCAACGTCATGTTCGGCTCCTCCTCGCAGGTGAAATTGTATTCGAGCGTGCGCAGGATCTCGGACAGCACTTCGGCGACCACATCTTCCGAATTATCATCGCCAATGTAATGCTCCGATTCGTCAATGCGACGCCACTTGAAATCGGCGGTGGTGCAGCCGTGATTGATAATAACCACATTATGATTGAACGGACGACCGCGATCAAAAAGCACCAGGTCCGGCTGTATGATATTGATTTCGGGCACCAGCACAGTGAGCCGCAACGACAGATATTTATGCTGTTTGCCCACAGCATAGACATTGATGCGACCCTCGACCAGTTTGCAGAAGATCTGTTTCATTGTCGACTTGTTGAGGCTGACGAAAATCTCCTTTTCCTCGCGACTCTTCAAAGGCACTTGGATTTGCCTCTCAAACGTGTGCTCGTAGAGTTCTTTGATGCGGAATGGACCCACCACCTCCAAGAGTACCTCATCTATGGGCAGGTTGACCAGATTGATAAGGTTAGCTGTGCGCATCTGTGAGCGCTCCTTGAGCGGATCATTGGGCTGAAAATTGAAGTTGAGCTGCTTGCGATCCCAGGTTAATTGACATTCGCCAAACTGCGCCTTAACTGTCATGCGTATCACTTGTTTGCGCTGCGGATATTTCATATCCGTTACGACCATCATGAAGTCGCAGTAGTAGAGACCCTCCTCGTAGCTGGTCATCATTATCTCCATGTTCTCCACACCCTCGGCTGGCACTTCTAGCAGCTTGGGCTGTAGATCGAAACGTGCCGTCAGCGGTTGGTTGACACAGGCACTCGTCTTCTTGGCCGGGTTATAAGTGGTTAGCCGGGTCACATTTAAGCGGTAGGAGCGATGTCCCAGATTGGTCAGCTTCACCGGAAATCGATAGCGATAGATATTGGCCAAAAAGTTTTCCTTGGTGTCCGTAAAAAGTAGACCCGCATCGAAGCCCTCTTTAATGTTGGGTTCGAAGTAAATGGGCACTCCCTCCACCAGAAAGGTAATTGGTATTTCCAAGACATTGTCAAATTGCAAATCTATATATAATGTGTTCGTATATAGATCTGGATCGGGAAACATTGACACCAAGGTCGTGTACATGCTCTGACCAGTGGGCGCCAACTTGCCGCCGCGCGTTGTCAGATGCTGAAACTCGATGTCTTTCTGGGGGTAATGCGTAATATTTGTGTACATTTAAACAGGTATTCGATTACGAAATTATATCTGATTCTTATCTGTTGACAAAGCTAATATATAAGAGAAAGCGAAGTGTTTCGCGAAAAAATTTCGAGCTCGCTTTAAACTGTTGCTGACTCAAGCGCGTCGAGCTTATCTTAAAGTTCGGCGAGTCGAGTATTTCGACAGCAGTCGGTTTAGTCGGTTGATTTGAAGTAAATTATTATACACTTACCAATTTCATGGAGAGCATTGTTATGGTTGGCGAGCAATTGTCTATATATATATGAAATTTGTTGAGCTCAAAAACCTGCAGACGTACGTGCACAGCTTTCGGTGTGACGCATATTTCGGTGGGCAATACATTTGCAAACAAATGAAATGGATAGGGATGTGGACCGCCGACAATTCGTAGAAGACCCGAGAGCTTGTTTGTGCCAAGCACACGAAAAGTGATCGTACATTTGCCAACCACATGCGAGTTCGACCCAATGTAGAACTTCCAGTTGCCATCACGAAAATTCATTTCCTTTGGCTGTGTGTGTAATTAATATCGATAAATATTTTCATTCTTGAATATGTTTGTTAACTTACAACCACATCATAGTGTATAAATCCGCCGACTTTGGACGTGTTCCAGAATTCCATATCAAACGAATACTCCTCGCCGGCATAGATAACTCGACCGGTCAGATCGACACAGTTCTCCCAAGTGATCTCCGGCGTGCAGCAGTTGTACTCGAACCAGAGCTTCGAGCAAAGGAATTCCGACTTGATCAGCGTCTTTAGTTGCTGATCCTCCGTGGATTCAGATGTTTCCATAGGCGTGGCCGGACAGATGCGTACGCTTAACGATCGATGAAAGTAGCCAACGCGATTCGGTATAATCAATATGGTAATGCTGCGTCCAGTGTTGGGTCTCAGATAGATAATCTCGTTGTCGCAATACACCTCATTGGGATCACTCGGTATGGCATTCCAGTCGAGGAATATGAAGCTGCTATGCTTCTTCATAATGCCAAAGTAATTCGTCTCCAAGAGACTGGTTAGAGCCTCGTGTATGACACGCTTGTCCGTCTCCGATTTGTCAAAAATCTTCTGTCTCTTTAGATTTTTCAGCAGATGGGCAGCCAATACAGGAACCGGCTCTGTAAGACAGAGAGGAATAAGAAGAAAAAATAAGTCAGTTTGAAGTAGGCCAAATAGATAACTCCGATACATCGAAGCTTAAATAGCAGATGTTCGGAAATTGGAATAATAATACTTATTTTCATAGAATCAGACGGACAGATAGCTTCGTAATAAAATATAGAAATGTTTCAGATTACCTATGATATCCTCTTCGAACTGAAAGCTATAAACGGAGTCGTTGACCGTGAGTGACTTCTCGGATAACATATCGGGCTCGACGGTGGATAGCTCAATTTTTTCATCGACATCATAATTTGAGCCGCGTAGATCCTCGTGTACTTGTTGCAAATGTTTAATGGGATCGCGTATCGTGATGGGCAGCATTTCGGTGGAGTCGCGTATATTTAAGACCAGAGGCTGTTCTAATCCATCGTCCGTGGCAGTCACCTGCATGGTGATGGGCACGGCCAGAGGATTCATTAGTAGCATTAAGCGTTTCTGGGGCACAGCAAAGGGTATGCTGCCAAATTCTACAAGTTGTGGAAATGTGCGCAACTGAACATGTTGGCCAATGCCCCTGCAGAGAGAGGGAGAGAGAGAGAGAAGGGAATGGAGTGTTGAAGTTTAAGGCACAAATAGAGCTCTGGATTGGTCAACCTGTTTGAGATAACCTGCTCGAACTCAAACAAAATAGTTGAGTCTGAAACGAGCTCGAATAGCTCGAACTTAACTCACTTGACCGTAATAACTATTCGAAAGATGCTTCGGTTGACTCGATGCAGAGCTCTAGTTGGAGAGTCGATCGAACTAACTTTATGGTAACAGAATAATACGCTCCGTTTTCCACCTTAAAACGCAGCGTCACAAAGAATCGTGACAATACAATGGTGAAGAAGGATACATGAAAGATGCCACGATCGCATGGCTCCAAAACGAAACCCTCTGGGGGCGTAACACGAACTCCACAGTCTTCCGGTTCCAGGCAATCCTTGTACTTGACTCTGGCAGTTACCCCTGAAGAGAGTGCGATGTTATAATTTTGGGAACTGAAGCAATAGCTCGCTTACCGACCATCCACATTTAAGATTTTGATGAAGGCACAATGCTCCTCCCCCAAATAGATCTTACGAAAGTCAATTACTTTCGGAAACACCTCCAACTCAATGCCAGCGATCTCCCCCTCGGCGACTATATAATGGGATTGCATGCATTCGCTGAAGTCCGTGAAACAGAAATTGATTTTGGTGCGCTGCAGAAATGGCGGCTCTTCGTCTTCGGGAAAGGGCTCTTCACCGCTGACGGGTCGGAATATGACGATAATCTCGTATGAGTCCAGCGACTCCAGTTCCTTCGGTGCCTCCATTCGAAAGTGAGAGGCAGCCGATTCCGAATATGATAGACTAGTGCTTTGGCGCACGTCGTCAAAATCATAGAGGAGTACGCTGTGCATGCTGATGGCCGACTCGAGTAGCTTGTCCGATATTTGTGAATGTTCTGATATGTCGTCCGACTCAGTTTCATAATTTTCTTCTTCTGATTTTGGTGCGGAATAGAAGGAGGTGTTCATCACGACTGCATGGGGGCTCTCGTTGCATATGGTTATCGTGCGCTGGATTTCATCGCCAAATTTGTTCAGGCCAAACGATAGGTACCCTCGGTTTATGTATACGTTCATCGACTTGGGCACATACTTAAAGATAACCAGCTTGGGTGGACCTGTAGAAGGGGGTTGGCTGTTTATTGTAGATCAGCCCTGCAGGCAATTACAATTCTCTTTCTCTCTCTCTCTGTCGGTCTTTTGATACATACTCACACCAAATTTAACATTGAAGAAGCCCTTGTATTCCTGCAGATTCTTTGGGTCAAATTTGATCAATAGCTTAAGGTAGTCGTGCGGCACTATCATGTTTTTACCCAAATGATACAGGGTGATTCCCTTAAAGCTACTGCAAATTATCGAAAAAAAGGAAATAATGTCCGTTAAATGTGCATAGTTGAAGCCCAAGTAAAACTTACTTTCGGTATTTCACGTTTATGGGATCTTTGGTTGGATTGTACATTATTAATTCAAAATGCGATCTATCCCTCGGCACGGTAGGGGGCAGGGTTATGTGCTCACAAACAAACGGCTCGGTCATATCTTTCAAGACTGTGGATGCATTTCGAAATTAACATTAATACTATAGTCGAGAGAGGTCGAGTGGGGGTAACTCTGCAGCTAGATCTAATGTGATTAAAAGATGACATTAAAGAAAAATTCGCATTAAAGAAAAATTCGCGAAACGCAAGGGAAAGGGGGAAACAACGATACTTATCGGAAGGCTTTCTATGGGTAAAGGTGTTTATCGCAAGAGATATTTGTCAAAAATGATTAGATGTCGATAAATATCGATTTCCGGAAAGTATCGTGCACATCTATAAAATCGATCGATCACAATATATAATATTGGATCGCATATAGCTTTATTTTCCTTTATCCCATCTAACTTAACTTCTGGTTACAGGGTATTATCGGGGTATTACTCCACCATTTACCGATTATGGGCACTTGAAACGTTATGTTCGGATGAAAGGAATGAATAAATATGTGACGTGGCCGATTTATGTTCCTAGACGTTTTGCTACGAATGTTGATCTTCACATTGAGTATCTTGTCTGTCTCAATAAAACGATTCATTTCGGGTTGTGGTATCACAATTGTGGTATCGCTGGGGCTATCTGTAGTAATCGTGATTTTACGTTGATACTAGGATGAGGTGAATAGAAATAGTACGAATGAGTATCAAAATTTAATATATATAATACCAGTCCAGTGTTTCGAATCGCTATGTTTAAGCCGTATGTTGAATTCTTTCGAAAGGGCTTCTTTTGTATTATCAATCGCGGCGCAATATGCAGACTGTCCACCAGATTGACATATTCACTGTAGTCTGTGAAAAGATTAATGGTATATGCACATAGGTTTAGTCGTATGTGGGTGAAAACTTACACGTTTTGGCAATGCAACAGCCGTAAGCCCTTGAAGCTGTACTGCGATACGATGGCTGTGGAACTCGGGGCTCGAAATCCTCAAAGCTATCTTCATTGTATTCTTCAGACACTTCGGTACCATTTGTGCTAACAGTTCGGGATTCTGGCTTATTAGAAAAACGCGCTGTTGTGCACGTCTCCATTTTTCATAATATTTTCATTGAAACTCTAAAACAAGCATTTGTTTGTGTATTTTGTGTCACTTATATTCGGATGTGTACTAAATTTTCGAGTGTTTTATTCCCTAATCTCTCTCTATCTCTCTCTTTCTCTCATTCTCCATTTTCCGCACGTGGAAATGCATTGCAATGTGCAAGCCTCACATATTATTACACTTTGCTTTCAATAATTAAAATTGTTGCCATGTACAGTTTCTGGTTCAGGATAATTTTTTTAAATATAATTTTTAAAAATTCTAACATATATGAATATATTTTTTTTTAAATAATGGGAAAATATTCTTTGTGTGTACATACATTTTATGTACTTATATTCTGGTAACTCCTGTTGTAGGGTGATGTTTCTATGCATTTGATTCTTGCTCGGAGCACATGATTGTGTCATCCTCTTAACCAAACACGGACATTAACACGCATGTAGAGAGATTTTTGGCAAAGGCATAGACAATCTCATGTTACGTATACGCCCCGTTGTTGTTTGGGAAAACAATTTCAATTTGGCAAAACTCAACGCAGCGTGTAACCAACAAAATGTCAAACGTATTCAGCAGGCCAAAGACGTGGCTCAGACTGAAGCCGATGCCAAGGCACAAATATGCAGTCGCAGCAGCTGCCAATGCAGAAACAACGTCGTTGCGAACCTTATTTATTTGTTGGTCCCGTTTCGTTGATCGGTTCATTCCTGCATTTGGCAAAAGGCGAAATGTCCTTTTGTGCAAAATTAATGATATAGGGCCAGGCCAGGGAAGCGTGCTGGAACCAAACCGACGTGCGGTTAGCTCGGTTCGACTGGCCTCGTCTATTGCCATTCTTATTGTCAAACGGACGCAAGTAAAACAAATAAGAGGGCAACAATCGGCAATGATCGACTAGCAGTTACCCTGAACTCAGCAAACGGAAACGTTTTTGAATAGCTTAGGTTTTTATAGTCCACTCTTTATAAAAGTCTCTCGCTTTGATTAATGATAAAAAGGGACGGACAGACAGATGGACAGACCTTCTAGAGGTTACCTGGTAGACAAAGCCTCCACTTACCTATTACATACATTTGAAGAGAAACAATATACCCTGCTTTGCCAATTTTCAATGAGGTCAGGGCATAATAAAAAATTGGCCCCAAAGCCAATGCAACCGCAAAACGAACAAAGAAAATTGAAAGCAAGGCAAAAGGATGTGCCAAAGGATGGCAAACTATTTTGCATGTGTTGCCACCTCCGCCCATCTCTTGTTTGTGGGCCACACCCCCCACCCCTCCCTCTGCCAGACCAAACTGTGGGCGTGTTTGTGCTCGTCGTCCGTCGCACTAGCACCCTGTGTTTATTATCGCCGGCAAAGCGCTTATAAATCACGCCACTTCACATGCACCCTAACAGCACGAACAGGACGCCAGGGCACAAGGACTCCGAGGCTCAGATAATGGAAGGCCACTGTCCACACATGTCAGGTTGCGGTGTCGGCGGTCGGCGGTCACCGTAACAAGATACCCGAAAATTGCAGAGTCTTTCAATGCACGCTGCAATGCCGACCCGATACGATGAAGAGAAATGTGAGCTCTTACTTCGGCTATAATGACAAAGAACAGCGAGTTCTGTTCGTGTTTCGCAAATGCTTGCCGAGGGTATTCCAATTTCAACGCGAAATATGTGACTTTGTGAGTGAGTCTGAGATTATATGGTCATCATAGCCGGGTGCAGACTGTAACCCTAAGTCCGTCTGCAGCTATGTAAACTCAGCTCCCAGTTAAGTTACTCTGTTAAAACTAGATACTGTTGTATACTTTAAATGGTTGACTTCAAAAACTGGATTGGAATATAATATTTTTATGGTTTACAAATGTCTACGTTTATATAAGCTTATTTTTTCCTTGATATTAAACAAAGCCATTTCTTTTCATGAAAGTTTCATTAGTGAAAGGCACAATAACAGCCTGCGACAGTTTCAAAACTTAGGCTCGTTTCAATTAAAATAGTACTAAAACGTCAATTTCAAGGATAGGTAAGACAAGATTTTCTATTCTGAAGTCAATTTTCTGTTCGATTTGTGAGATTTTCCTTAGTCCATAGCTATAACTATTTCAGAATTAGAAGCTACAAGGCTAAGAATCAGGTTTAAGCTATGTCTTGATTCGATTAAAGAGCGTAGTAAAAGGCACGAAGAATAATTTCCAAAGTAAAAGTAAGTAATTTTTTATTAAATTTGTTGTGTTCTGCAGAGAATGGAAGTTAGAGTAGTCCTCGGCCCATTTAAGTATGTATGTAAATATCTTTAAATATGCATTTTTTTCATCTTGGCTAATTTTATGTTCTTTACATTTCCCAAAAATATGAAAGGGTGTTTAAGCATTGCCAGGCTAAAAGGACTTGCTTGTTTTCTTTTGTTTCCATTGAAATTTGATAGATATCAATTTCCCAGTTGCCTTTTGTGTGTCTGCTTCTGGTTATCTCTATATGATTCTATTAAGTGGTTATTTATGCTTACCCAATTGCCGCCAACAGCAGCCGCTGTCAATTGAATGTCCTTATTAAAGGACTCCTTGCGTATGACATTATTATAAACCGGATGCGAGTGACACTACGATTGAGGCGGCCAAGTTTTATGCTCGTCTTCTTCCGGGTTGGGTTTTTACGACTGTTTGGCCAGGCTTTTAGTGTAAAAAAGCCAAGCTCTGTTCTGTGTGTGGCCTGGAAAAATAAAGTTGGTATCAGGCAATGGACTAGTCAAGTGCTGGTCGAGGCAAGGTAAGTTCTCTCTGAAAAAAGGAGGGAAAAAAGTACCTTGGATGGAAACCCAGAATGCGAACGAGGTTTTTATTTGTCCGGCTTATGTGGTCCTTACGACTGTAAAGTGGCAATTCTTTAACAATTTATGTTGCCAAACCAAAGTCGAGTGTGTGCCCGGCGAGCTGGGCCCTGCAACAGCTGACGCCAGCTGCTGCCCCTCGGTTGGATCCCCGCTCGTTCTCTCCCTCCCTCACCACCAGAAACCGAGCCCAACCCTCTCTAGTGCTGTTGAAGGGTTCACGTTTTTTATATTTTGTCGGGTCCGTCGGCTGTGAAATTTTCGTGAATTTATGAGCACTTGAGAGCAGGCGCCATCGCCAGCGGCTGCGTTGTCCTCAGCCTCGTCCTCGTTCTCATTCTCATCCTGGCGACTTTGTTGGCCTAATATAAATTTCAACTTGAACAACAACTGGGCAAGCGCCTGGCAACATTTTAATGCGCGTCGCGGCTACTTTTTTTGAATACCCTGTACTAATTGGCAAAAAGGGGGATAAATATTGATATAAAGCCAAGTTATCATAGCTTTTCCCATTTACTAAATGCCGATAAATATCGATGCTGGGCAAAGCTTATCGAGCATATCTCAGAGTTCTTAAGAGCTTAACTCAACAATATTTGCATGCGGGAATTTAGAAAATTGACTTTTTTGATACCTGCTGAGCTTGCCATAAAAATAAAAGTGAAATAATAACTTAAAAACAGGGTAGTTCGTAGACTGGCATTTTTGACTCATCACGCTTATTTTGATTTCCTTTTTCTCAATTTTTTTTTGTTGCCTTTCTAAGTGGCAGCAGCAGCGCAATAAAACGCTCTTGCGAATGCTTTGAAAGGATTGCGGCCAAGTGTGGTGCACGCTCGTAAATCGTAGACGCAGACGCCGACCCTTTGCCGTCGCATAAAAATTAGTTTACGTGGCACATAATTTTACATTAATTTCATTTCAAATGACCCAAGCGGTGCACCACCAGGCACCCGTTTCCCCTACCATCCAGCCAGCCAGAGTTGCCAAATACACATGTGTGTGCGACACACACGCACTCACACACTCACACAAACACACATACACACATATTTCGATGCCACCGACGCATTCGCTAAGAGTCGGCGCACGACTTGCCAAAAACCACTTTGCCACATTTTAAAGTATCTGTCACATAAAATACACACAGACTCTTGCCTGTGGCCACAAGCCTGCACGGAGGTGGTGTCGCCTAAGGGGTAGAGAGGGGGTGGGGGATGGAGGGAGGGGATAGCTGAGTAAACTGCAACAAAATATTTTGTTTTTCTTCAGCTGCTGCACATTGAAAAAACAGACAGGCAAACAAAAACAAACACAAATGCTTATAAAATGATAAGTTGCGCTGCAACAAGACCACAACGTTGACGTCGACGTCGACGTTGACGTTGACGTCAACGTCGCTGCTGACGACGCTAACGTGGCAGTGAAGTCAAGTGAAATGGACGAGTAACTGCAGCTCCCAAGACAGCAGCAGCAGCAGAAGAAGGAGCGGCTACAAGAGTATCAAAACCCTAAGCAAACAACAAAGAATTGTTGTCTGCGATTAGACGAAGATGAAATACCCTTCCGTACATACAGCATCAGGCATTATTTAATATTAATTTAAGTCAAAGCAATTCTTTGAATTAATTGACGCACAAGCGGAGTAACTCTTTAAAGATATTTTTTTAATACGTTGCAAATATCGTGTGAATATTATAATAGCCACTGCAAGGGTATGCAAGCAAATAAGAGTGCTAAGCTCGAAAGTACTCGACTAGAAATATTCCCTAAAAAACCAAAAAAGAAATAGATATATGTATTAATGCGATGTCTGCCGCAGTCCAAAGCTGCAACGCTGAAGAAGATGTGTAGAAGAAAGATGTTAACAGCAAACAGAATAATATAAATATTTATTTACGAGTATATGCCAGTATCAGGTAAATTTCAACAACAAAATAACTCCCATATAGTTGAGATTAGCTTTATATCAACTAAAACACCCACCCACATACCTGTACAGAACACAGGGTATGTGTGTATATATAAAATATAAAATACAGCTGCACTAGCATTATCGCTGTCAACGTCAGCGTCGATGTGCTGAGGAAATATTTTGTGTTAAGTTACTGCCGCAAGAAAAATGTCCGGGGTTTAGTCCATGAGAGCAGAAAAAGAAGAAAGCACAGCAAGAAGCATGTTAGAGCACAGCACAAAATAGATATGTTATAGCCAGGCATTGCTCGACCCGGCTTCCATACGCCGCGTATGTGTGATATTTGTGATGCAATGCATGCAGCCACGCCCACAGCAATTAGCGTGACAAATTACTTAGACTATTGCGCCAAGCCGCAGGCGCCACAAAACCAACGCCGGGCATCGCTCGATGTCAGTTAATATGAATGAAAACTCATTAAAAATTTACAACTGATTGACTGCACAATTTTCACAGGAATATCGCAAAATTCTGACATTGTCCAGCAAATGGCCTGTCAAATGATGCATCCGGCGGTCAGCTGGCAACAAGCAGGTCCACATCCACACCGAGACCCCTGAAAAGTGGCCACTGCAATTTATGCTAATGCTCGTTAGTGAAATCAAACAGCAGCAGCAGTGCAACAATTATGTAAACAACAGGGCCGTAAAGCAAACTACGTGTACAAGCCGCTCTGACAGACTAACTAAATGACAAGCTGTCTGACGGATGGACAGACGGACAGACAGATAGACGGACGGATCGAGCGGAGCGTACATGTTGGCCAGAACATGCGTCACAGCTGTCGTACAGTGGGCACATGTTGCACAGAACTTGCTCAGCAGCTGTTTTGCCTGAAAATGACGATCAAATTGTATGTAGTTGCATTTAATGGGTATTTGTTATAAGGCGATTGCCTATTGTGCTTATCAATGTATAATATCATTATAATTATAGTTAAACAATAGTTCCTTCATTGAACCGAACCTTAAGCCAAAGTTGTATTATTTTTGAAAAGTTAAAGAAACTAAAACCTCGGCTTCTGGCTGTGCTGAACCCGATTCACGGCTTGAAACTATGAATATGATTGTCATATTTTTTCAAGTATTCTTCATAAAATCAACTTTCTCTTGAACATTTTTGAAACAATTTTCTAAAGGCTTGTTACTCGGTTTAGATTTCACGTTAAATGTCTGCTTGTCTTTCAAATGCTTATGTAATATTCATGTTGTCCAAGCAAGTCTACATCCTACGATATTTTAGATACTGATTTTATTTATATTTTTTTTGTAATTGCATCTTCTCAAAATTCCTTCTGCAACCAACGAAGTCCACTATGGAAGTCAGTGTATCAGCCGTTTCCTACCTATCAGCTTTTTAGATTCCTACTGCAGGATTTTTGCACCTCTTTCAAAAGTTCTTCTAACTTAATGACTTATGATTACTATAAAACAAACTTTCAAAGTTAATGTAAAAATCAGTTATATATTCAAGAACTCTGTACTGTATTGTCAGTTTATAATTTCGCCCACTGTGGTGCATCGGTTGCACAATATATATTGACGCATATATTGCCAGTGACAATTAATCTGCTAATTGCCAATTTAAGCACGTAAACCAAACACAGGCGGCTGCAGCGACAGCAACGACAACGACAACGACTCGGCTTCAAATGACATGTGGGCAGCACGGTGGGGTCTGAGGGGGCGGGGGAGTGTGGGGGTGGGCGGGTCAGTAACTGGCAGTTATGGGCTGGCAAACGATTTGAAAAGTTTACGTGTGACAACAATTGGTGCAAGTGCCAAGTGGCAAGTGGAACTGCAACTGGAACTGCATTTGATTTGTCGTCTGAGCCATGCGCAGGACATTCGAGTGCTCGAGTCGGCGTAATTGAAGCTAATGAAAGTCAACAAGGATTCGCATTTGATGCTGGCAAACGTTGCATTCGGCACACTGGGCGTATGAATATAATCAGGCAGTCTGCACTCGTAAATACATAAATTAGTTATGTTGCTGACACGCCGATTTGATTTACGTTCCCAGTGTCAGTGACTCCGGAAGTCACACACACACACACACCCAAAGAGAGACACCCGCTTCACAACGTATACGCATCCTCCACACAATGGCTGCCTAATGAACACGCACTTCTTCTGCTTTTCTCTCGCTCTTCGTTCTTTTGCATGAAGCTATGCAATATTGTAAAGTTTTCTTTATTTTTTAAGGCGACACTGGCTAAATGCGCACCATTGTTAGGCTTGACGTGAAGTTTGACGTCCTTTTTTATTTTTTTATACATTTTTTTTGGTATCTTTTAAGGCAGGCCGCTTGCAATACTCTAACGATTGCCGCAGCTCATTAAATTTAAGCAACGCCAAAAGACAAGCAAAAGAGTAAAACCACAAAAGCCCTTTGCTTTCGATACCCTGTTGCTTGTTCATATAGGGTGCAATGTTCTGGTGTCTGTCTGCAAGGAATTATAAATGCCAGCGATACTCTATATCAGGATGAATGTTATGACATAAAAACGTCTATTTTTAATGGCAATATTTACTAGATAAAGGTTTGAAACCTGAAGTTGTAGCACGTTCGCATGTTCGAACCTGGAGCTTCAAACCCATACTTTCTTTAAATAATTAGACAACTTTTTGCCGAAGACTGCAACAAAGTTTATTTTTACACAATTTCCAAGTACACAGTTTCTTGATTGGCGCGAACAGAGTATCTTGCAGTCGCTGGCCAATAATTGCATTGAGCTTGGCAGCTCGCCTTTGCCTTTTGGCAGCAATTGAAACACAAAGAGCATCATTGTCAACTCCGTCGACGTCATTTACCACATTCAAAATGCCATTAAAAGCATACTAAAATTAATTTGTAGCAATTAGTTGCAAATTGCAAGAAAGCGAAAAGAAGGCGAAACAAAGCGAAGCAAACGAAGCAAAAGGGCCGCAGCAAAGCGCAGAAATTGCTCAACATTTTTATGTGTTTTTGTTTGTGCGCATTTAGAAAACCGTCCATAGAAACCGTTTGGGGGCAAAATCATAAAAACTGCCACAGCCAAAAAGGACCACAATTAGACCAGCACACCAGGCGGAGCAGGGGAAGTACTGTGGAGGGGGGGGGGGGGGGTGAGGTTCAGCGGGAGGCGGGACGCACCAAGCGTAGTCGAGCATAAATAAATGCTATGTTATTTTTGGCAATTATTTTCACATTCGAGTGTCTGTCCTACAATGGAGCTCATTTGTAATTTGCAGCCGAAAAATGCTCGCATTGTGCTCAGCTGTTGCCCATTGCTCGTATACCCTGTACTCGTACAAAATGCTCCAGAAGGTATATTAGCAGCAGGCTTTCACAGACGCCAGATAGATTTTATAGCGAGACATGTTTGAAATGTTAATTTTTTTCCTTTGTTTCTTCCTAGGCGATAAATGGACGATAGTAAAAGAAAACAATGATGTATGTTTAAGCAAAGAGTTCTTATTTCCCAAGCGATAACCTTTTTTGTAGGGTTTTCTATTTGCCAGGCGAAATCTGTTCTCTTTGCCAATTTTTAGCAGCAGAAATTGTTTCATTATCTTAGACAAAACTCCTATCTCCGAACTTTCTCTTTATATAATACTTAAGAATATAATATTCAAAGCTCTTATATTTCTTATCATATAATATTCCCAATAAGAAAGCGATATCGAGACAATGACAATGGGAGATCTATAAAATTACTCTTACTTCATGACTGCAACTGTCAGCTGGCGGAATTTAGACCTGTTTACAGGATATTCGTCTTTCCGCAAAATACTCGCCTATCACGAAGTATCATCGATGAACGATTAATAGGTGATAAGATAGCGATATGGCAAATCGATAAGTGTTAACACTTCAACCTAACATTCGCAACAAGGAATGCTTCTTGACTGCAACTGTGGGCTGGACTTTTTACAGGGTATTAGCTAGCCTAGCACTTACCCGAAAGGACATGTTTACATGCTGTTCTTGTTGTTCTGTGACTGACGCCATTAATTAGGCTCCTTGTCGGCCTCAGTCAGCGCCAGCGAGCGATAGACATCTCGGTGCCAGCATTTGTCTTGAAAATGAGAATGCGTGAAGGGCATAAGGATTCGGTATGGGAATATTCGGCATGTGGATACGGCTAGGCATGGCATGACACATGTTGTCAGCGTCCCTTCCCATCTTTCTTGTTGCTGCTTCGACTACTGTTACGACTACTACTATTTTCGCCGCTAATTGGAAAATGTCACAATTTATTTTATTTTTATGTTTAATTGGATTCTGCTTTGCAAAGTTTTACGCCCCTAACCAGAGCTGGGGTAACATTTCTGTCGCCTAGGTACGATGCATGATAATTTTCTTAATTTGCGCGCCCTGATGAGATGGGGGGTAGGAGGGGGCGGACAGATTGTAGCATGCGAGCGAGTGTGATGGCAACAAGAGCGAGAAAAAAAAAAATTAAATAGAAAAACCGAAACTTTTTCCATTTTGCTGATGGCATACGTGTCTGTGTAAAAGTTCAACCACTACGAGGACATGGGCTCTCACAAGGACGAGCACTCTTCAAAGGTGCAAATAAAGTAAATTATTAGTTTCTTCTTCTTCTGCTTCAGATGCGGATGCGGATGCTGCTGCTGCTACTTGTGGATTTCCGCTTCAATTACTGATGCTACTCGCATAAATTTCACTTGACAAACTTCTCTGATAGTTGGAAACAGGTGCGAGAGAGAGAGTAAGGGACAGAGAGGGGTGGGGAGAGACAACACACAGATAAACATCTGTTTGTACGCATTGCCAAATTAAGAACTTTCGCCGTGCGCCAAATGTAATTCCCATTACTTCAGCCGAGAGCTTTGCTATCACACAAGAATTTCTGTTTTACGTGCTTGGCAGCATATCTCAAAAGTAGAATAGAAAATATTTAATTAATTTGGCTTGTTTCTACGACATTTTCACCTGACTCGGCAAGCTGAAGGAAACTAGACGGACAACTATACGAATGTGCACTATGATTGACGATAAATTGTCGATGTATATCGATACATATCGGTTCACATGCTTGGTGAGCTTATGGCTATAAACAGAATATATATCGAATCAGTTGGAAGCCATTGGAAGGATTCTCTTAAAGCACGCAGCCAATAAATGGTTTCATCCGTGTCTTCATTTATGGTTAAGACCTTTATTCGCTTTTTTCAATTACTCGCCCTGCTTGCTCGTAGTGCATAAATATATTATTTTACTACCAGTTTTTAAGCACATTTTATTAACGTATGTAAGATATCCACATTCGATATGAAGTTGCTCGGCACAGCTCACATTTGCTTTATCTTGATTATGCTTATGTAGATCCGCCAGAAAATTACAAAACCAACAGCAAAAGAGACGCAAACGTTACTGGGTAATAAAATATTCCAAAGAGTGACAGATTAGTGCAAAGAAGCAGCTGCTGCTAGTCATGCTGACGAGTGGAGCACTCTTTTATTAAATGTGCCCTAGTTATATTTCACATATTTTGCGCATTGTCCAAACAAATCTTAAGTCTCCGAAATCTAATTAAAGCTAGCGACACCCGCGCATTCACTTTGGAGCGTGTCACACACTTTTCTTGAAATGCACGCATCAAAAGCGGCATTAATTAGCCTTAACTTAATGCAGCAGGTGTCTGTTTTTATGCGCGAGTGTGGGTGTCTGTGTGTGTGTGTGTGTGTGGAGGTGTGTGTGTGCGAGTGTATTCGAGTATATCTGTCTAATAACCCAAAGGTGTTGTATACACGCGTGTGTGTGTATGTGTGCTGTATTATAGCAGCTCGAGCATAATTTCTAATTAACTTTTTGCTGCAAAGCGGCAAAGACGTAAGCGGATGGAGGCGAAGGGGAGGGGGTGGTTGGCACTGAAATCCCTTTAGCACGTCATCATAAAAATGTTTTGCCAACACATTTACGGGTAGCCTCTTGGGCGCATAATGATGGGGGAGGGTGTAAGTGTGCGCAGTGTGGCTGGCAAAATGCGTAACAAATGAAGTAAAGAAATATGTACGACAGCAAAAACAACAACAACAGCAACAATACACACACGCACAGCAAACAAAGAACGAACTCAAAATGGTAATAAAAACAACAACACCTGTAAACCTGAGCAATGTTCTTGTTGTTGTTGCTGTTGTTGTTACTCTTGTTTTTATGCGTTAAGTCATTAAAATGAAAATTTATTATGCGCCCCATGCGCAGCGCCCACAATGGGCGTGCCACGGTCACAGCCTATGCGGCGTATACGCAACGCCATCTCTCATTAAGCTGCTGCTGCTACTGCTTGTTACCGCTGCCTAAATGAAGCCAATAAAGCTTTTTATCTTCCAACAGACGTGATTTATTTATATGCCTCAGAAATTATACTTAAAGGCGCCTTTGATTTCCAAACCAAAGCCGAACTCGTATTACACATATGAAATGGCGAACAAGAAAATCCTAAAAGCACATTTACATTCAACTTAAAGAAAGGTTAATATATTAACATAATATATTGTAATATTATATTAAACAAGCTTTAGTTTGAGGTGGGCATATTTAAGCTCAGCCATTAGCCATAAGCATAATTTTATTTGTATATCAATTTGATTTGGAATTGTATTTTGATTAAACTTCCATGCACAGCTATGTGCTATACCAATTCGATTCAACTGGAATAAATATATAAAAAGTTGCATTAGGATAGCGTATCCGAGAGATTACTTCAGGTTGCCGGAACCCAGTCAAACCTACTTATCAAGAGCCAAGGAAATGGAACTCACAGAATTTTGAATTTTTTGGGTATTTACAATTTCAGACAATTTCAAACTAATAATAATAAATTTTGTGTTTAAAGAAAATGTTTATCGGAAATAAATATCTTAGCAAATTAGATTTCGCTCGGAAAAGAAAGCTCTCTCATTTATTGGGTCTGAGTTGGCGCACTCTATTACAAAAGAAAACACAATTTTTTTTTTTACTATCTTTTATCTCATAATATTATACGAAAGCCTTTGTCTAGTCGCTAGCTGTTACCTTCCCCCGCAAACTCTTGCAGACTATGAATTATTCAGTTAAATGCCGCAGCAGACATTTGCAGCTTTAACATGCGGAACCGAATAATTGTTGTTGTGGTTTTTATGTTTTGTTTGGATTTGCTGCGATTTGCCGGCGTTGCCAGACTCAGCGCAGATCGCCAGCTCTAACAAAGTGTCGTCGACACACAAAGCGCAGCATAAATCCAAATGCCACGCCTCGTATGCTGCCATTGTCACTTGGGCTGGCGGGACTGCAAATATGGCAAAAATTACACACACTCACACACACACACAGTGTAAGGCTAAATTAAAAATTTTGCACAGCGTAAAAAAATGTATATATATGAAAAACGTTGCCTGGCTGCGCTGGGGAAACATAAGATTCACAGTCAATTTTCTTTTATGTGGCAGCTACTCACACCGCTTTTACACTCACACACAGCAGTATACGCACACGCGTGCCAAACATTTTTATAGCACTAAGCATATTTTTTACTGTGCTTATGTGTGTATTTTGTGCTCGAGTTATTTTCTTTATTTTTGAGTGTTCATTTGTTCGTCTGACAACGCTGCCAGCCTAGGTGTGTGCCAATGTGTGTGTTTGTATTTTTAATACAGTTTTGCCAAAAGTTACACAACAGCAGGCCGAAAACAACAAAAAAAATTACCATGCGGCCCTTATCAAAACACATCAAGAGTGTTTTGCTCGATGGCACTTTGGGGAGCAACTATGAACAGGCCAAGCATGTGTGTGTGTGTGTGCGTGTGTGTGTGACAGTGACTAATAAAAGCGCTCGCATATATGATCCCGTTTCGCCCTGCCACTCCGCAAAAGCAATATAATAGTCAAGAGGCGGCGCTGGTGTAATATGCATACAATATTTTCATTTTGCCGCTTTCTTTTTTTTTCACAGTTTTCATTTGTTATTGCAAAAAATAAAATAACAATAACGAAGAGTTATGTTCGGGCATGACGAAGCTTGAATACACTAGTAAAGATGTGATAGAAAAGTATTTTTCCAATATAACTTAAAGGAAATCAAATCCCAATTAAATTCTTTATTTTGGTTTAAATATCTGTAAACTTTAGAATATTACAGAACCCCGGATGTTTTTTATAAGGTTAACCCAACTTTGAATATGGCCATATGGCTTATGAAAGTTGAAAGCAGGCTTCACGAATCCGAAGGTAAATAAAAATGTCATGATATATATATGCAAATTAGTTTGGATCTAATTTATATGCTCAATAAATTGTATACATTTTTAAATTCTTCTTTCTATTTGTTTTGTTTCTTGGCTTTATTCTCTTGATAGAATATAATATCATAATTATTGTATTTATAAATTTAATAAACTTCTTTTGTTTATTTCATATATATTTTTTTAATAAATGACATATTTCCTTCAATGCGTTACAAATTACTTTAAAAATTCATAGGGCCCTTTGGTAGCGTATGTAAGTAAATGCTGCTTCGCTGTTATCTCACTTGCCTGCCGCTCAGTCGGTTGGTTGGCCGCTTAAACAAATATCCTATATAGCCCCTGGCACACACACACATACACTGAGAGCAAATAAACTGCTCATAAAGCAAAATACAAAAAAAAAAAAAATTGGCAAAAACAACAAAGCAAAGGCGTAAGCGACCAGTCAAGAGCTGAAGCTGAAGCTGGAACGGGGGTTCGGGTTTTGGAGTGGGCATGGGACATGAGACTTAATCTCCATCTAAACGCAATGGAGTCGTAATAACAACGGAAAACAAATAAAAATACAAATGCACACACATCTGTACACACACAAATACACACAGACACACGCACACACATATGGCCACACTCATAGTTTACGTTTTGCCACTTCATTTTATACGCTTCCTATTTTTTTGTTCTGCTTTTTTGTCAAGTTTACTTTTTGAGTCATCTTTGGTCCTGGTCGTTGTTGTTGTCGTTGTCCTTGCGGTGCTTGCTGCGGTTGCTGACAGGAATCGTCGCAGAAATGGCCATTTTGTGTGTGTGTCTTTTGATACACTGTGCGTTCGGATTTTAAGAGCATGCAGGGATTGCAAATTAGAATCTAGAAATTGTTGTCGTTTGTGTAAGATATGTATTGTTACATAAAATATAAATTACACTAAAAAGGACTTGCAACCCAAAGTCTTTATCTAATCATATGCAAGCTATTTTAAATCAGTTATTAAATTTCAAAACAGAGCATCTCGCAACTGGGCGCAGCTGAACGGAAAGTTTACTTGCATTGTTTATAGTCCACCGCCAAGTGACTGTCAGAGCAGTCGTCCATGGCCGAGGCTTCTCTGTGAGAATGGCACTCCAGTGGGCCATAGGTGTGTCGAGTTGCCCAGCCTAAGTATGCGGAGCGCGTGTGCAGTTGCTTAGCTGATTAGCCCACTTGGGTGCCATTGGTGAGCTTCATTTGTTCCTGGGTCTGGCCCTGTGTCCTACTAAAAAGACCACTGCGTCGAAGTATGTATGTACATACATGTGTACTTATGCACATGTGTGTGTATGTGTGCGTGTGTGTTTGTACTTGTGTGGATTTTTATTTTTTCATTGCTCACCCTGCGACCTGTCCTGGCCTGTCCTGTCCTGTCCTGGCCACATGCCCACAAATATGAGCGTATTGGGGACAACAAAGGACTCAATATGCTTGCCATTTGTTGTCTTCTGCAATCTTATTGTAGTGCGCGACGGGCATATTAACTATTGCAATCAAATAGAAAATAAGGTGGAACAACTCTTGCATATATAGCTACAAATTAGTACAAAATATCAGACTACATTACAATACCCTTCATTACAACAAAGTTAATATTAATTCTTATTAATAAAATGTTCTAATTTCTGTAGAGTAATAATTAAGCTTTTGCAGTGCCAATATTTAGGGCTGTACTGAAAACTATCGATAAACTGCCAGGTGAAAAGAAATGGAATAAAAACAAAAATAAGTTGGTTGAATTCCCAAAGAGGCGCTTCTTAAAAGTAAACCGAATTATCGAATATTCCCATTACTTGGTTTCGAAACAGGATACTCCAGCAAAACTATCAATACTTTTTAATAATGAAAAATCGAAATTTTTAAAGGAAGTTTTAACATAATTAAGAGAATAAACTACTGATAGTAGCAAGAAACATTTGATAGTTCTGTAAGAAATTGAGTGGTTAAGGGTGATGCCTATATCGAGAAAATTTGGACACACTTCAGACTAAGAGTATCCAATAATCAGTGCGTAGTTAGTTTGCCTTATGCTTGTTAGGGTTTTCTCTGTGTTTGACAGGTCAACAGACAGTCGACACATTTGTTCAGCGTCTTTTCTGCCGCCCTCCTCGGCTGGACTTCCATTTTGTTCATGCGATCCTCTGGTCAACTCTAATTTGGCCATTACCTACGTTGATTAGCTCGTAAAATGTGTTTGTTACTCGAGCATACTTGAGTGCCAAAGCAAAAAGGGACTGTTTTCAGGTCATTTAATTCAAAAGTCATATGCAGCCCTAATTGAAACCTAAATCAGCAGCAGCAGCAGAAGGGAACGTAGCTCGGACAATGTAAGCCAGCGGGCAGCTGGGCATAATTTAATTAAATTATGAGCTTTGCCAAACGAAGGAGAAATCACATTTTGATGCGAACCACACGCATGTCTTAAGGGTTTGCTGTGGTTAAAGCACACCACAAAACCGAACAAGCAATAGAATGGACCTTAAAAAATATGACAGTGTTGCATAACGAATATAGTATCTACACTATTGATAAAAAGTACGCATCAATTCTTTTGGCTTGTTTTAAATATTCAGGTAAACTTTTCCAATTCAAGACAAACTACGACAGATGGATTAAAGAAAAGGAGAATAAGTGGCTGCACGCACAGAGAATTTTTAGTCAAAAACTAGCTTGGCATCAATTTACATTTTATATTAAGGCCATATAAAACCGAGAAAAAACTGCATCGTTTGTGGCAAATGGCAAAGAACGAAACTTTGAGCAGCTGCTGTGCTTCTTAAGCAAATCACTTTTTAAGCACTGAAAACTATGCAGGGGTTGAGCCTGGACGGGGGTTTGTAAGCCCGAAGGATTCGCTTAGCCATTTTAAGAAGATTTTTCATACATCTGCCTGGGGTACTGCATATGGCAGAGAAAGCAGTGTTGCAAAATTCCTCAACTTAACTTTTTTAGCACTGTTAATTATGCACTTGAAGATGGGCTTACAAGTCCGAAGTAGAAGGCAAGCTCGAAGAATTTAGTGTTTCGATAGGGTTTTCCTACATCTGTGTCTGAGTTCTGTTCAAGCAGTGTTGCAAAATACTTCAATATGAACGTATTCAAGTATTTATACGATTTTGCGTGGCATGCTAACTCAAAAGAGAACACTGTGCATACCACAAGTACACGCGGCGTATACGCAATGCCATGAAATATAAATTCGAGCGATTAAACGGCATCAATTAAAAAGTGGACGTCAGATCGGACCACGGCTGAGCAATGCTGATAGAAACAGACTGAATGGCTACTGAATATATATGCATGTAGATATGTCGAATGGGGCGTGCCCTCATGAATATTCATTCGCTATTTATGTAAATGGGCATTACGCACACTTTTGATAATGTGTCGCGTTTTAATTATGAATTAATTGCGAATGATTTCAACATCATGCATTTTAATTGACATGCCATTCTCTCTCTCTGTGCGAGTGTGTGTGTGTGTGCGGGGCGATCTATCTGTAGGTGTCGCATACACACATACACACACCCGGTCTATGCCACACACACAATAGCTGCGCGACACACACATAA